CGTTGGCCAGTCACCAGCTGATTCGGGGCCTGGGGCAGGAGTGCGTGCTGAGCGCCGGGCCCGCCGTGCTGGGTGGGTACCGTGGGACGCCCGGTGCCGGGGCGGGGGTGATGCCAGGGTTCCGCGTCTCTCACGCTGTGTTTTGAAGTCCACCGCTGTGGGTGGCTGTGGGTCCTCATACATTCGGTAGCTATGTATAAAAAGCCATTAGGCAAATGCTTTTAAAACGAAAGTTGGTGAAAATGCCCTAAATTTGCCAACCATTGCTATCAAAGTGGGGAGAAAGAACGAGAGTCAAGTGTTTTCTTTCACCGTAATTTGGCCTACACTCACCAGTTTCCAGTTACAGTTGTTGTACCTACTTTTTGAGGAACATTACAGAAGTAAAACTGAAAAGTCATGCTGTTCTTTTAACTTTTTAGCAATGCCTGGATGAGAAGGTATTTTTTGTAGTAAAATTGCTTTTTTAAAGCACTTAAAAAACACATCACTGCTTGGAAACGTCTATGATATCCCTTAAAAAAAAAGCAGAACTTCTCTTTGGTGTGTCTTCTTAATTAAAAGGTAGGTGAGATTCTCTTCCTAAGAGGTCGTTGCTAAATGTAGTGAAGAAATAGCCCTAACCAGTTTGGCTCAGTGGATAGAGCATCGGCCTTCGGACTGAAGGGTCCCAGGTTCGATTCTGGTCAAGGGCATGTACCTTGGTTGTGGGCATATCCCCAGTAGGAGATGTGCAGGAGGCAGCTGATCGATGTTTCTCTCTCATCAATGTTTCTAACTCTCTATTCTTCTTCCTTCTTCTCTGTAAAAAATCAATAACGTATATTTTTAAAAAATAAATGTAGTGGAGAAATAAACAATACCTTAAACAAGATGCTACAATAGTATCTGTATATTGTCAAGGATATATTAATGGGGAAAAATTTAACAACTATCAGAATTATGTAAAAAATCTTCCAAGTTTACTTCGAATATTCAATGCATGTCCTTTCACTTGAGAGATTATAGAGCAGTGCATTCGTATTCTATCGCTGCTTAAAGCAACGCAGCTTTGTTAATATTACAGTTCTGTAATCAGGAGCCAACACGGGTCTCGCCGAGCTGAAGCAAAGGTACCAGGCTGAGCCACTTCACATTTTGAAGGCTCTTGGGGAGAATTCGTTTTATTTTTCATTCAGGTTTTTTTCCCCTTAATATATATTTTATTTTCCTTAATATATTTTTTATTTTCAGAGAGGAAGGGAGAGAGAGAAACATCAATGATGAGAGAGAATCATTGATCGGCTGCCTCCTGCATGGCCCCCACTGGGGACTGAGCCGGAAACCCACCCCCTCATGTGCCCTTGACTGGAATCGAACCTGGGACCCTTCTGTCTGCAGGCGGACGCTCAATCCACTGAGCCAAACCAGCGAGGGCTCATTCAGGTTTTTAAGCCAAATTCAGGTCCTTGCCATTGTAGTCCCGAGGTCCCTTTTTTCTTGTTGACATTATTTGCTTCTAGAAGCCACCCACATCTCTTCTGTCTCTGGCCCCCTCCCTCCACCTTTACAGCCAGTAGTAGGGGGTCAAGTAACTCTCATGCTAGGAATCTCTCCTGCTCTTCTGTCTTCCCATGTCTACGCTTCCTCCCTCCACGGCTGGAGGCTCTCTCATGTGATTACATTGGGTCCAGCAGGTAATCCAGGATTATGTCCCCATTTCAGGGTCGGCTGATTAACACCCTTAAATCCATTTGCAACCTTAATTTCCTTTCCCGTGTAAAGTTAGTAAATTTACAGGTGTGACATAGCCACCCATCCCGGTGGAATATCTAGAATTTTGTTGTCCTTGCCTACATGCACCAGCCTTAGGTCAGCATATTACAACTTAAGAAGGTGGATTCAGAACCAGGCAATCCCTTTAGGATGGGTTGATGGAGTGCTGCTTGGTAGCTCTCTTACCTCTTTTTTTTTTTTTTTTTTGTCCAGCATTACAGACTTCCTTAGTCTTTTCCAAAGATTTTGGTTTGCTTGTGTTTGTTCGGAAATCACTTAGCATTGATGAAGTAAGTTGAACATTTTCTTTTTTTTTCTTGCATATTCCTTTATGTTGAAGTGACTCTTAATCTTGCTCATATTACTACAATGTGTATTTCTTTTTTTATAGTTTCGTGATTGTCGAGAAGAAATCCTAAAATTTTTATGTATTTTCTTAGAAAAAATTGGTCAGAAGATCTCACCTTATTCTCTTGATATTAAGGTAAGGAGGAGAAAACATAGTTTTACCAATATTCATTTTAATTTATGGTGTAAGTTCAACTTGGGTTTTTATTTAATTTCTGTCTTTTTATTTCTGCTTGATTGTGTTAGAAATAAAGTGGACTATTCTTTTTTTTAGATTTAATAAGCTAAGGCCATTGTCAAAAACTATTTGATAACTTATTTTTTTTTACATAGGATCAGTAATGCTTTTATAAAAAGTCAAAGTAAGTTGTATTTTTGAATTGTGCGGAGATTTCAGAACACTTTAAAAAACAATTTTAAAGAATTTTTCCCAAGGGTAAGATTCATATTTCTTTTTTTTAAAATCTAGTTTCTTTTTAAAAAAAATATTTTACTGATTTTTTTACAGAGAGGAAAGGAAAGAGATAGATAGTTAGAAACATCAATGAGAGAGAAATATCGATCAGCTGCCTCCTGCACACCCTCTACTGGGGATGTGCCTGCAACCAAGGTACATGCCTTCGACTGGAATCAAACCCGGGACCCTTCAGTCCGCAGGCCGATGCTCTATCCATTGAGCCAAACCAGTTGGGGCGATTCATATTTCTTATATTTCATGTTCTCTTTGACAACAGTCTGAAAAATTTGCCTGTTTTATGCCCCCCATTCTCTTTCAAAATGCTTTCCCTAAGGTTTCCTCATAACTTACTAAGGAACTAGTACTCATAAATTAAGTTGTTGATTATTAGACTTATTTATGCTTTCAACAAGTGCCGCATCTTGAAGTAAGTTGTTTTTATTTGTCCAAATTTGCTTCTTGTTCTTGGATGCTCAGTGCACTCCCATAGTGGGAGCACTGCTTGGCTGACCAGTATGAGTGGAGCTCCCACAATGGGCCGATCCCCGCTGGTCACCCCCCCAACCCCCAGTGCTTGAATCCCATGCTTTGGGCCTCTAGTAAATTATAAGTAGCTCTAATATAGAAAATGGCTTTAATGATTTATCAGTCTTTTTTTTTTTTTTTTTAGCAGATTTTGATTTTATTCTCTTTTGACTTCTAATCTTTCTCGATTGAAATCTTAATATTTAAAAACATTGTCTTAAGGGTAGGAGTGACATTTATAGAGTACTTCATAGTTTACAAAGTTCTTTAATGTGTAGTTTGCCCCTTAATATTTAGCAAATCTTTGTTATACTTCATCTCTCTAGTGTACAAGTTAAGAAACTCACCCCAGTCTTGGCACTAGGTTGCCTCCTTCCAAAGCTCCTGCTGCTTTCATTGCACTGCACTGTGGAGTCCCAGCCATTCTTCTCTGAATTGCTTTAGTTACCTTTTTTGTTTTTCATTCTTTCTTTCTTGATATATGGCAACAAGTGCTGTGGGAAATACAGAAAGAGGAATAACTTTAACTTTTTTCTTTTTATCCTGCTGGGTCCCCATCGATTTTGTTATTTTGGTTATTAATACTACTCCCGTCGCATATTGCATCAGTGTTTTCAGTAATTTTAATTCTGTATATTTATATACTCTGATGTTATTTTTAATAATAAATTGTGTTATGGCACATATTGGTATTACTCTTCTCAGAGACGTAGTTTTAGATCTTACTGACTTTTTGGTATGTCTCCTTTTAAAACCTAGAATACTTGTACCAG